AAAAACAGTCCAAAAGGCCATTATGTTACGTACGTTAGGGCTTCAGGTCGGGCTCAGTGTTTACTAGTTAGTTTATGATGACTTACTAGTTCCTGGTACTGTAAGGAATTTTAGGGTTCAGGGTTTAGGGTATAGGGTTTAGCGTTTAGGATTGCCCCTACATAACCCCCAAGTATAATGGCTACCCTCATTCCTTCGCTTAACACGAACCAGTAGTATATAAGTAAGCCCGGATTGAACAGCTCGCAGGCACTTGGGTATGTCCAACCATGGAGGCATCTCAAAAACAACAAAAAGAGAATTAGGGAAAGAAGAGATGTATACCTGAATCCCTAAAAGTATGTAGAGTAATAGCCTTTTGGGCTGTTTTTAGGTGTTTTGGGCTATTATTTTACCCACTTTTGGGGTCTAGGTAGGGACTAAAGGAAATGTGTGGGTTCCTTCGAGGATTCTATCGGGATCATATGGAGGCCCAATTTGCACCTTCTCATCATGCAAACGTGCCCCCCCCCGACTGAAAAGATCCAGGGATGTATATACAGGGGGGGGTTAAATTGCGGGGCATAGAGTTTGAGGTTTAGGGTTTAGGGATTGTTGCGCTTACAGTGAGAAACTCCTAGACAGGATGAAAAAGAAAACTTGAGCAGTCCATTTGAGCCCACAACAGGTTTGTTCAATTCCCCATGTAGACGCCCTTATCACGTCTTGCTTTGAAACGTTGCCAAAACTAACAAATTGTGCGCGAGACGCAGGCCGCAGCTCTGAAATCATGTTACGCATCCAAATCTCTAGGCCCAAATCTCCATGTAGACGCCCTTATCACATCACGTGCTCCAGTGAGCAAAAGCTAAGAAACTGTGCACAAGAGGCAGGGCACAGCTCTGAAATCATTGTCCGCATCCAAATCTGTGGCCCAAATCCCAGGTAGCACTGAAAGTACCAAGCGAAAAGCCATCTTGCTTCGCAAATGAAATGCCGCACATCCTATGACACTCCACAGCAGAAGCTAAAAAAATGACAGGAGGTTTACGGGTACTTGGCCAGCGAGCCCAAACAATAAGAGAAGGGATATGGCAAGCATGTATGAATATCTAGATACATATGTCTATACGTCACGCCGTGTTGATGCGCAGTCCGAGGCATGTTCTGCAACAAGCAACCCGGCTCACGGCATGCAACTTTATATAGGATATTTACGATGCTATGGCCATAGATGAGAATCCGCATGGACACGCTCTTACAAGTTATAAAACAGTCATGAAGATAATCTCAACGGCAGGACCACTAATGATAATCCACAAGCACACGCACCCGCAGCACGACTTCACACAACACGGCACGACTAAACGCAGTATTGCTAGTAAATAAACCGAAAAGTACCTAAGAGATGGAAAAATCTAGGAGATGTGATGTGGGCGCGCTGAATGTGGGAATCCCCGTGACGCCCTCGTGAGACGCCTTTCGCCTACCCGGGACGCCTGAAGTCAGCCTCTTGTAGCATAGCTACACTGGCAGCTTGGTGTTTAAAGCATGATTGCAGTAGCAAAGTATAATACAGGTGAGTAGTGTTTTTTGGGTGGTTAAACCCAGTAAGATTACATTCCTTATAAAAAAAACTGTACCCCAAAGGGAGGATAGAATCTTACTCTATATTGGGTACCATAGTATCCAAATAAAATACTACTCAGGTGACTGTCGTAGTCACCATGAATTAAGATCATCTACTGTCCTACGCTGCGGCCCCTACCCGGAGCCTACTGAACCTAGAGTAACGAGTCTGCATGCTATAAGATGCTTCAAAAGCCTACTTTCCAAGCCCAAGCCCTATATATCCCGATATACCCTAATTCCTACACCCAAGTCCTGTATATCCCTACATATATGAGCTATAGTCTAAACTCCTGGTATCCCCCTTAATAACCCCAATATACTCCTCTTTAAGGAGTGTAGACTGACTCTAAACCCTAAACCCCAAATCCTAAACCCAAAACCCTAAATCCTATACCCCCTTTCATGTGAGCCTCACCCCCCCCCTTTTCCCCCTTGGCACTCCCGGCCTTTGGTGGCCCAGGCTCAGCTCCCTCGACCGATTGAGCCTAAGTGAGTGCGCAGGAATGTAGGTTATATAGGGAAAATGGAAAAGAAAATGGAAACTAATTACTATTTAGGGCTTAGGGTTTAAGAGTTTAAGGGTGTAGGCTTTAGGGTTTAGGTGGTCTCTTGGAAATTTTATACTCCAGTTATGTGAGGAGTTCAAGGGGAAAGTAGTGGTACATGTTCAGGCTTCTAGAGGAAGCAGCTAGCAGAACTGGTCGCGGCCGTGAGACAGTAGTCATCTCAGCCATGTGCCAAGAATAATTCTTGCATTCCCAGCGGTAAGCCAGCAGTGACAGTCCCCCTACCAGTAGATTCCATGGCGCAGCCAACAATAAGTACAGCGGGGGGCTTACCGCAACCGTAAAGAACAAGACCAGTCAGCATGACCGAGAAAACTTGACATCATATCCACCTTCAAAATATAACAGACAGGCAATGAATCTGGCGACGAGTTGCAAGAGCTAAGGCAAGAAAATATTAGAAAACCTGCGCCTGCCTGCTTGCTCTTCACTACTTGTGACATACTGTACATGCCTACGTGCAAACCTACCTGCTCACTTACTTCAGCGCCCGCTTGCTTACCTTGTTTGCTTCCTACTTTTCTACTTGCTCACTCACTGGCAAGAAACTGGTTAACTCAACCTTTCTGGTGAAGAAGGGATGGGACCCTTACACTAATTCCCGTATGTACCCCTACTGCTAGAGTACCTACATTCTCAACCCCTCTCCCATAAGCACCAGTAAGTAACTGAACTTTACTAATTCTCAGTAGGAAATAAGGGAATAGATTCCCTGCGTAATCTCTATATAGTATATTTCCTTACTCCCTACTAACCCTGAACCCTAAACCTTAAACCCGAAACACTATAGCATATTCCCTTCTTCCCTACTTAGAGCCAGTAACTGAACTCAGAGGAGCAGTGTTTCTTTGGTGGCTGAACCTACTAAGACTATATCCCTTATATAAAATACTATACCCAAAAGGAGGATCTAATCTTACTGTATATTGGGTACAAGAGTATCCCCCAAACCCTAAACCCCCAAACCCTAAACCCTCAGCCCCTAAACCCCTAAACCCTAGATACTACTTAGAAAAGGACTCCTTCCCTCCATGCATCCATCCGTTGAGGCCCTTGCCGAAGGAGAGGCTTCCGGAGGCCTAGCAATGATGAAAGACCCTGTTTAGGGTTTAGGGTTAAGGATTATTATCTCACTGGTTCTTAGTAGGGCATAAGGGAATATACTATAGGGTTTAAGGTTTAGGGGTTTAGGGTTGAAGGTTTAGGGGCTTAGGGACTAAGGGAATATACCATAGGGTTTAGGGTTAGTAGGGAATACGGGAATACATTATTATATCACAGGGGTTATACGCCCGTGTTCCCTACCAAGAGCCAGTAAGTCATCGGGTTTTTGGTTTAGGGTGTAGCGTATCATCTTTGCTACTGAAAATCTTGACCCTAAACTCTAAATCCTATTGCACCGTTACAGCTATCACTATTGCTGCTTAGCTCGCACCAACTCCCTCCATGGAAATGCTCCTTCTCCCCGCTTGCAGGGACTACCTTTTACGTAACTCTAAACCCTAAAACCCTAAACCTTAAACCCAAAGCCCTAAATCCTAAACCTTTAGCCCTAAACCCTAAACCTTAAACCCTAAACCCTAAGCCCTAAACCCTAAACCCTGGTATTCGAGGTCAACATTCACCAGCTGCCGGCTCAAGTCAGCGTTTTTGCTTCTTCAGGGCCAGGCTGGGGAGTGAACTTCGGTACTTTTGCTTCTAAACCGGGGTTTAGGGTTTAGGGTTTATAGTCCCCCTTAAGTAGATAGAATATGGCTTGGGGTATATTATAAGATGCCCATATACCCCATATACTATCTACTTAAGGGGGACTATAATACTACATTATAGTAAGGTATAAATATTCGGGTTATACTACTCTGATACTAGTAAGGTAAGGTATATGTTAGGGTTATATTGGGATTATATAGGAATCATGGAAAACAAGATGGAAACTACTATTTAGGGTTTAAGGTGTAGGACTTAGGGCTTAGGATCCACTCCCAGCTCCCTCTTAGGCACCAGGAAATGGGTCTTTCCCGAAATGAGGGGAACCATTTTGGGGCTTCCTATACTAAGGACTATAGCATTTGAGGGTCTATATTGGGGTCCCCCTATTCTGGGAAACTGCCAAATTTCCTGAAGTTGCAAGATCTTACCCATGTCTTGTCGAACTCGTATGATAGTTACAGGGTCCTCAAACCCTTTGCAATAGGACGCAAAAAAAATGATCAAACAGGCGTGATCGCGTGGGCATCGCTCCAAATTTTCTCTTCTTATAGGTACACCCTAAACCCTACACCCTAAGCCCCAAAGAAGATTGTCCCTTAGGGAGATCCCATACCTTACTGGTTGTAAGCTTTGTAGCCCCTACTATTCCCATATAATGTAATAGCTTCCATGTTTTGACAGGGCGCAGGGTTACAACAAATCGATTCTTCGAAGCATGTGCCAGGGCCATGCGCTAATTTGGAGGGGGCTCGGATCTGGAGCTTCAGGGCTTTAGGCCTTCGATGTGTTGGATCAGGATGTAGACCAAGGAAACCTTTAGGCTTCAACTGGTCTTATGCTTAGGATTTAGGGGCATGGGATTTAGTAGACTATAACCCCAAACCCTAAAGAGCAGATTCCATCTTAGTTTCCTTTTCCCCTATATAATCCTAAAATAACCCCAATATAGTCTATCTACTTAAGGGGGACTAGAGGGTTTAGGGGCTTGGGCTTTAGTAGTTGAGTTGTCGCCAGCTCTTGGCTGGGCTTTGCTTGGACTTACGGCGCACTTCTTTTTTGGCTGGCGGCATTCTCCCAACTGTGCTGGCAGAACGGGTGTCCCAGAGCTTGGGGTCAAAGATGATATAGCGGGCCTTCAACACGAACATCTGCTCGCAGAAATTGTGGCGGCACCGGAATTTCCTCCAACATTCTTTCTGCTCTGTTTTCCTCTGCGTGCTCAGCTGGTACTTGATGCAGCTGCTCCTCTCTGTCGTCACTTGAATCATCGTCAGGCTGCTCTTGAAGCGCTTCCCTCTGCAAGCGGGTGAGATAACTTGGGCGCGCATCCTTCTTGTTGAAATTCTTCAAGTGAAGGTACAGAAAAAGCGGTTGCCCAAATTCGCGGCTGCGGTTTGCAAGGCTTAACCTGACTTGCCTGGCCTTGAGAAGCTTGCGGGGAGCTCCCGGAACTCGTATCTGCATGGAGTGCAGAGCAACTGGCAAGTCGGGCGCTCCTTGCAAGACACCCATGGCATAGGTCCTCATGAGCATCTGAAGATCGTCCCACTCACTGACCTTGCTGAGCATCCTCAAAGAAGGTGGCTGCTGTGCAGGGTGCGTCTTGTTGAACTTCAGGTGGGCCTCCAACAGATCTCCGTCTGGGGAGCAGGGGTCGACAAGAAATGTGGCTTCAGCCAACTCCTGCAAAACCTCCAGGACCTGGTTGCTTGGCGCGCCTGCTGTTGAGGCAGCTTCTGACCCTTGTGACTGTGAGGACATCAGCGACTCGCTTGGCAAAGAAAAAGGCCAGCGGCGTGAGGATGCCCTCCCATGACTTTGATGCCACTTTGGGAATCCATGCGTAGCAGGGGGAGCCTCGCGGCCAGCAGTGTCCTCTACAAATGCCAGGATGTGATGTGGCTGGTCCGCACCAAAAAGGCCCGGCAACCGCGCATGAAAGACATCAACTGGCACAACCTGGTCGGCTTCTGTCAAGCTGATCCGCAAACATGAAGGTGCTGAAGATTCTGAATCATTGGCTTGTGACGAGTTGGACATGCTCACAAAGGTGGCAAAATTCTTCTGGCTTTCATGGCCGGCAATGAGTGAGCTGAAGTTAGTTCCCTCGAAGTTCTTCTGTGTGGAGAGCAGACGCTGCAAGCAGGATGGAGATCCGCACACCTCTCTTCCCCAATAGGGTTTAGGGTTTAGGTAGAGACCCCAGAAAGGAAGCCCAAAAAGTTTAAAGTTCTTCCATTGGCTAAGTAAGACACTATCATCCCTGGGTTCAACAACAGGCTGCCGTCACAAAGTCCCTTCAAGATTTTCTGGAAGCCTGCCATGAGGGCTTTATCGTCCTCGTTGTCCTGGGTCTAGCAGACACTGGGTTCTTGTTTAGGGTTTAGGGCCTAGGAATTAGGGTTCAGGCCCTTTGTAATACTGGGCAGTCATGTATGAGGAACCAAGGATCGGGGTAGACGGTGCTAAGTACTCTGTCAGGCCCAGAAACCTGTTTGCACAAAACGCTGAACCCCAAACCCTAAACCCCAAACCCTAGAGCCTAAACCCTAAATATTCAGGGTGACACTGTGTCGGGCCCAAGCATCCATTTCAGACTTCAGATGAGCACGTATACCCAGCTCTACGGTCGCGAGGATGGTGCAGCTTTGACATAACCTTTGAGGTTTAGGGTTTAGCGTTTGGGGTTTGGGGTGTAAGGTTTAAGGTTT